GGCGTTACAATCTCTTGTATATAAAGGTACGCGAGCAAAATATGTTATATGTATAACGGATGAGTTTGATGAATGAGTGTATATAGGTGCGGCCGTAACAGAGTGATTATTCAGAAACTAAAAAGACAATTGAAATCACAATCATATTCTTTATATCAGTTTCTTCCACTCTAACCTCTAACCAAATAATAGAAGTAGATGTAGATCTTTTTCGAATCAGTGGATGGGGTATCTGAGAGAATGTTGATGGTCATCGCTATCCATAATTTGATGATTTCATTGAACAGTTTTATCTATACAATTTGTTTTATTCAGTTGATTTGGTCACTTTCCGTACTAAAATTATTATCCGCCTTTGTCAATATAGCTCTCGACAAATAATAGTGAATAAACCTATATTTTCTGTTGGACTATCTTGAATTATTTGAATCGATTACCATTAACAACTAAACAGATATCCCATCCACTGATTTGAAAAAGATCTACAGGGTGATTATTTTCCTCCACAAAGAATGAAATGATAAAATCCAGGCCTGGAAATGAAAGAACATGTTGATTTCCATTGGACTAAAGCATCGAAAATTTGAGTCTTACTTTTATTTGCGAAATTTATGCGTTGCGAAGTAATTAATTTGGAATGAATACATTATTTGTTTTTCTGCTAGATCTCATAACCAAGAGATCCAGGATGAACAGAGTTATCCCAATTTCAATGTTCATCCTGGATCTCTTAGTTATGAGATCTAGCAGTTGAATAGGTGGTGGAAAAATTCCACTCAAGTATGTCAGGTAGTGCCATCTGTCAGCAGAGTGGTTTAATTGTAGTACCACTCTGTAGCGTATAGACGTAGGGGTCTGTACGTGTAACTATAGATGGCAGCGCCATACAGTGTGTCGCGATTTCTGTATTTTACCTTAGAGCTTTGCCACTAGATGGCTACAACATGACAATAACTTCATGTTATACCCTGCATTTTTGTTTTTGCTTATAATTTATCGTTTTTTGAAAAATTCTGTGAAATTGTGAGAATTTTAGATAGTTTTTCTTTGAACTTTTTGATAACAACTAAACTATCGAAATTTTTAAAAAACGGTCCAGGATTTTCCTGATTCTGAAAATGTCAGTCTATTAGGTTTCAGTTGAGGACTATTCCATGAAAAAATCAAAGGAATCAAAGGAGCTGCTGGCAAGTTATACCGAAAAAATATTTTGCCAAATCTCATAATTCACCCTATATATTGGTAATAAAGAGAAGAAGACACTTTCCGACGGTCATGAGGTATTCCTCTCAAGGGCCTCCATTCGTGGTAGGAGTATGTATAGTTTCTCATCACTCACCCTCTATACTCCTCAAAATAATTTATTACCTAGATCTTTATTGATTTCAGACAGGTCATGACAATGATTAATAGCAAGTATACTTACATTTGGAATCATTGCCATGACCATCTCTTGAAAACCACCTTAAAATCAATTGAGACATCAAAACCTGAATTCCCATATTTTGAGAAATACAGAAGATAAAAATATATCAAGAGGGATATTTTTGGAAAGCTCTTCCCAATTGTGACAAAATATATAGGTCGTTCTATTTGAGATTCATAAACTGTTTGCTGTTCCCTGTATATTTTCTTAGAGACTGCGAAAGTATTTGTCGATTCAGAGAGGAAAAACTGTTAATATTGTAAGTGGTAATATTTAAAGGGTGTCACCTGATTGAATTTGAAGACCACAGGGGAAAAGGGGTCACAATATAGTGGAAATTGACTTGACACCGCCATCCGATAGCCTAACCACTATATTTCAGTATAAACAGAAGTCCATAGCAATAACGCAGCATAGTCTGCTAATATGCTGGTTGGAAAATACGTACACAGTAAAAACTCGGAATGTCCACTTCAAAAATTTGAAGAAAGGGGAACGTCCAAGCTTAGTGCTTGCTTGAATAAAGATTCCATTTGTGATTTCAAAAGGTTGTTTTCACACTGTCAAAAGGTCAAAGTGAACTCTCAGGCAAACAAAATATGAGAATAGAAAGCGATACGGCCACCTTTTTTCCATCTCTTGGAGCGTACCAAAGGGAATCCACATAATGTTTGGGGAACATTGTGGGTTCCTAGGGAGGATCGGGAGAGGAGGTAGGAATTGGGATTTTTTTCAACTTTTGGAGATTATGAGTTCTTGGGAATACTCTGTTAGGCCAAAAATTCCAAAGCTATGCCGTTTTATGTATTAACCAGTTTTGGTAAAGAGTTGTTCAACATATTTCGAGGTTGACGACAAAAAGGTGTGTTAACTGGGCTTGTCAAGTACGTCTGAGTGATGGGAAAAAAATAATGAGATTGCTATATGATAATTGCTACTCATATCGCGTGAAATTTATAGAAAATGATCAAATTATAGAGATGCTAGCTGTACTATATGACAACTTACGGCTCATTAGGTAGTCAGGCAAGAATGGAGAAATGTACCAGAGCAGATAATTGCGAGTAAACAATCTATTTTTTTGACAATTTATTTGGACATTCTCCATTTTTCTCTTGAATCTTTGGACTTATTTTTTGTTTTCGATGATTTTTGCATCCAAATATGATTATAATTTCTAGTTGTTCGACTTTATTGCTCATTATACTCATTCAAATGGATCCAGGTGGTTTGATTTCAGTTTAATTCAACTTCCAAAAAGTAAGGAGGTTTTAAACTTTGAAATGCCTTTTTCTCGAAACTCACTTCTTGTGACATTCCCCCTTCTTCCCCTGTGATCTTCATTTGTTTGTGATCGCTCAATTTTTGTTCATCCGGACCTGGATTTCATTCTGACTACTACGTTAGTTACTTTGGTAGTGAAAGGAGAACATATACCAAATATCAGGAAAATCTACTGGTACTGGTTTATTACTTATATCTCTATAAAGAATTAACAGGACTGATAAAACACACTATATCTTGGTTTTAATTACTGTAGGTTTACAAATATGGTATATTTTCAAGGGACAAAGCATCACGTCCGAAGTAGTCTGAATGGTTCATGGAATCAAAGAAGCCTTTAGCCAAGATGGAAACGCGATTATGGTCCTGATGGATTTTTATACCGTTTGGCACGAAGGGATGATATGTGAGTTGGGTGCCTGCAGGGACACCCATGTTTGTTGTTGAATTGATAGACTCGTATTCAGCTCGTCGCACTATCCGAGTAAAGCTTAATAACATAATTTCGCGTGAGTTCCCACTTGAGGCAGGAGTCCCACAGCAGTCGTGTGTTTCTCCTCTGCTGTACTCTTTGGATGGAGACTTTAACTGGAATAAATTCGCTACTGGGGGAGTGAGTGATTTTTCTGGAAATTCGCGAGACACTTGAACGTTTGAATGTATTTACCTACATTTGGCGAGCAAAATGGAAGATATAACCCTTCAGGGGTAGCTCGAATCAGCCCCAACATGTTTTATGAAATGCAACCGTATGGCTTGCGACCCCTCATTTAGGAATTCAGCATACTGATCATATTTCAGTTTGCAGTACGTTTGGTGGTCGCATGATTTCAAAATATAATTTGGAAGTTTGGTATATTTTCAACGTATTTTTATCAAGATTTCAACTTTTAGCAACAGTGATATAGGACATTTCCACCAGATTGCAATAGCACTTCGTGCCAAATTGTGAATACGGCAAAAAAGTAGATTCCTTTTTGCAGATTTATAAAAATATTGGAATACAATAACAGATAGCAGTTGTGAAAAAAAATTACCATCAATTATTGTTGAAGATACATTTTGAGCAATTGGTACATTTTGAAAAAATGGAATTTTGAAATAACATTTCAATTTTATGCAACCTTCAAACGTATGAAATACTAAAATCTGACTGGTACCCTAGATTCCTCTTTCCACCAGCTTTCAAATGAGGGGTCACAAGCTATAGGGTTACATTTAAAATAATCATTGCGAGAGTGGTTTCAGCTACCCCTGGAGGGATAAATTCTCGATATTTACCTCCCTGCTAACGAATTTATTTCAGTTGAAGTCTCCACATTGTATACATATGACCTCCCTGTGTTTGAGAGTACAAGTACTGCATTGTACACAGATGATACGTCGCCAGGGCACAGATCCAGCACCACCTGAACAAGAGGGTCGTACCGTATTTTGACAAAGGAAAAGATCGGAATAAATCATGCAAAAACAGAGACAATAAAATTCTCAAGTAAGTTTACCAACAACATCTTGATCCGAAATTTGCGTGTCAAAGACACTGGGGTGGAGAGCAGAAGCACTGTGATCCCTGAGGGTAGTCCTTGACAGGCGTAAGAATTTTCTAGCAAATACTGAACACCGATTGGCAAAAGGCCAATGCAGCAATAAGGAGCTTGTCGTTGTTGGCGAGCAATTCCTCGTAACGTAACGCTTTGGTCCGGCTGAACGGTCTCCCAACACCGCACAACCTGATTGGGCGACGACAAGGCATGAAATTCAGTCTGTTACTCCCTTTTCATACCTCGTTACCCATCCCTACCCTACATAAGATAGGCTGTCAAATTAAGGGAATTGTGCTTTTTGTTTTATTTTCCGCAAACACTAAACGTGATGAATAAACGAGATAATGTAAGCAGCAATATGAACCTTCGAATTCTTGCCCGCCCTAAGCAATTCGCCTAATTAGCTATGGAAAGGAAACTGTCCTAGGACGTAGCTTTGACATTGGCTTTTGATACATTGGCGCCACTCGTGGCCAACCTCTGGGAGCAAAGGGGGCCAATATTTTTGGTATTATTTTTTTACATACACTATACCACAAATGTGTGGATTTTATTTATATCATTGTTTGTCTTTACATATTTTAAGTTGTAATAAATGAATGAATGAACCGGAATAATCAAAACCATCTGGGTGACCTCACACCACTGTTGAGTGTATATGTGTTTTCAAATGAAACACCCTTTATATGTTCATCAGCTTGGTAAGAAAATCGTGTAGTGAAAATTACAATGAGCATGGATAGTACCTTGTAGCCAGATCAACCCTTGTTCTCAATTCTCTAACATTACAAGGCACATCACATAGTTCGAGGCTTGCAGAAGGGAACAATTCCTGTTTTCCAGTCATCGGGGCATAGTCCACCCTCTCAGGAAGACCTCTCCAACCAAGTCGGCATACTCTGTTGACTTTTATAGTAACGAGGGCGGGGAAACTCTGGCGCATGCCACAGTCGTATGCGATGACAGACAGGATGTGATTGTGTGATCTCTCATAGTCCAGAGGTTCCGTATTTCTGAAATTTCAAAAAAATGTATTTTATCACTATCAGTTTTAGAGCGTTGGCCCATGACACTAGGGGTGTCGATTATATACAGAGGTATGCCCTGCAAGGGACATGAAGTTTGAGTTGGATCATTGAGAAAATAGTGATTTGTTGGATCGGACCCCGTCGCTCCTCTCCCTCTTTAATCATCTTTTGGATGAAAGCTATGTTGAAAATTGTATTGAAAACAAAGCTTCATAATTTATAGGAATAGTCACATCTCCCACACACAATTAGCCGGAAGCTAGCCGATTTGCATACGTCTAGGACGGTCCCGAAGGGCGGCATAAGTAACCTTCAACCGACATTCCTCTAAGATTATTCACGAAGGTATGCCCATTGGGTGAACCGTTCATTTTGATCAATCAATCACGGTTATATATAACATTAGCATAAAATTTGGGTGAATGGATTTAGCCGTATTCGAAGGTCACTTGACGTCATTGACCTTGATGAGTCTAGTTCACTTCAACCTCGACTTCAACACAACATGTCGCAGCGACAATGGCTGCTTGAGAAAATGTAATCTGTATTTTACCCCGTTTTGGGAAACAAATTTCAATCTGTTTGTACCGTATTTAACCATAATGTTGATATTTTCAAACTGAACCATAGATATTTTTATGGACAAATTTCGTTGTTAACCTGACGAGTATGTACTGATGATGACTTAACAGTCGAAAGCGCTCTGCTACAAGTAATAAATCTGAATAAATCATCTTGCACAAAATACAACACTTCCCTTTATTGGTATATATACACGTGCACACAGCTAAGTAACCCTCACTTAGTGAGATGTGACTATTCCAATTCATACGAGCTTTGTCTTTGATATGATTTTGAACATTGCTTTCAACCGGAATTAGATTGATTAGGGTACCGATCTAACAAATCACTTTTTCCCAATCATCAACTCAATCTTCATGTCCCTTGAAGGGCATAGCTTCGTAGATAATCGACACCCCTAGTGTTATGGGTCAACGGTCTATATTCCTTTATTTCAATGATAAAGAGGCAAAAGTTATTTGGATGCACTAAAAATTAAAGGATGAAGAATGAGAAGAATTTATTGTAAGAGACATTTTTCTAAAAACGAAAAAGAAAAGTAGAAATGCATTAGCAGAATAGAATGAAACGATGTATGGGTTGCGTGCAAGAACTGTCAGATGACCGACCCTGGTGGCAGAAACGCACTTTTCCTATTTGTTTACAAATGATTGAAATAGTTTGTCACAGTTATATTGGCATACGAATAGTATTTTTCGGCTATTCATTAATTCGCACATGCCATCACATTGTGCTGTTGTACAATGCACAAAAAATGCAGCGCGAGACGAAGGAATCGGGTTGGTCCATTAAGATCAAGTAAGTACCTACTATAGTCACTCACATATAGTTTTCATTTTGAAATGTGGTGATTTCTCTGATTTCTCATCGGAATTCCTTCTGCAATAGAAGCTAATAGAAATACTCGTGAAATTTCTGAAAGAATGCAAGAAGATTGGATGCATGTAATCAAACGGGAGGACTGGTCTGACATGCTGACGAAACATGATCGTGTGTGTTGTAGGTTGTAGACATTTTCAATCTATTAGCACTATTAGCTTCTATTGCAGAAGTGGCAGAAGGAATTTCAATAAGAAATGACAAAATTCCATAATGAAAACTATGTGCGATTTGATCAATTTTCCTGAAATTCTATACACTTAGTCTACTAATCGGAGTGATTTTTCCGAAATACATGTAGTCAAATATCAGGCCCGGACTTGGAGAATTTCAATCTACGGTCTCTTAGAAAAATGACAACATATATTGGAATTTTCGATCACCACTTATTGTTCCTGAAACTACATGAATTAATGAACGAAAAATGAGAAAAACTCCTTTTGAAGTACCTTTTAAATAAAATATTGCTTTCCGAGAAACATACCATTTATTTTATTCTATTAAAAATTCAGAAAAAAATAACATGACATTTTCAAATTGCAATCTACCAGCCTCCCTGTATTTTCGTACTCACTTTTATGAATTTTGAATCTAATTGTAAACCATTTCTGGGCTGAATAACATAACATTTGTGTTTTTATCATCACCTTCATCCAACAAGTTGTACAACAGTTGGAAGAATGGTGACCACCTAGGCATGCATTTTCCCGATGGATTACAGCCCACAAATGGACGGTTTTTTGGAAATTATTTACAGATGAAGCCCACTTTACACAAAACGGTATTTTTAAGTCAAGAGATTCTCATGTGTGGGCAAATCAAAAACAGCACACAGTAAGACAAGCCCATTCCCAGCATAAATTTTCAATCAATGTATGGTGTGGTTTGATTAACAATTCATTGATTAGACCTTATGTACTTCCTCAAAGGTTGACGAGAGTTGTTTTGTTTGAATTTTTTCCAAAATATTTTGCCTTGTTCGCTAGAGGACATGAATTCAAGAGGAATACATTTTCAACATGAAGTTGTTCCACGAGGTGTTCCGCCTCATTTTGGTGTTGAAGTTAGGGAACACTTAGATTCTAGATGATCAATTTCGAAATCGTTGAATTGGGAGTGGAGGGCCACTTCCTTGGCCAGCTAGGTCCCCAGATCCCAACACTTTTTTGTGGGGATAGTTGAAACAGAAGGTCAACAGTGATCCCATTGGAAAAAGAGAATTTTTGTTGAACCATATTGCAATTTATTGTGAAGAAATCAAACATAATCCACATATGCCTGGAAACTCGATTGGAAATGTATTCAAGTGATCAAAAAAATGCAGAGAGGCTGGTGGAATGTATTTAGAAAATGATAAATGGTATGTTTCTTGGAAAGCAATATTTTATTCTGAATTATTTGCCAAAGCAATTATTCACATTTTTTTGTTCATCAACCATGTAGTTTCAGGAATAATAAGCAGAGATCGAAAATTCCAATGTACAGGGTGTCCTTTTTCTAAGAGAACCTGGATCAATTTTCTCCAAGTCCGGGCCTGGACTTTCGTTACATGTTTTATTTCAGAAAGTTTACTTCGATTATTAGACTGAGTGACTGAAAATATGCAATGTGAATCAATTTTGGATAAAGTGACACGACCCTGTATCTTGGTAATTACATCGTATAGACCAAATTAAATATTAATTTTTTGATGGCAGAGATATGTCCTCTGTACAGTCGCTCGTGAATCACCCTGTATTGTATAAAAAAACATGCAATGTAATCATAACTTGATATTATCAAAAACCTACAACTAGATGACACATTGCCAAAAAGTAATCATTCAATACATCTTGAATATATCTCTTCTCTTGATGTCTTTCAGAAAGCCTTAAAAATGATCTTCGTCAAACTTGACAGTTTTTGGCAGATACAAAATATGCAGAAGATACACAAACTGTGAACAAACTTGTGGAAATACTGAATATATTGGCCAATAAGGTTAAAGTGCACTTATGATGCGATCGGTTTTATTTGGAAAATTTGTTTTGTACTTATGTATTTTCGTCTGAAAAACACGAATTTTACCAACCGATATTTCACCATGTTTAGCCACCCATCTTGGATATCCATTTACAACGATTCGTCCTTCTTTTTCCATCATTGGACATTTCATATTCCCACCTTGTACTTCAATAACACATTTTATTTACTAAAATCAACAAGAAATATGGTATATTTGGAATTTTCTCATATTTTAGTGAGGTAAACAATCACACCAGCTGACGGCCATTCAATTATCAAATCTAATAAATTATAAATACAAATCACAGAACTCAAAATACAAATACGAGATGTCGAATAAAGGTCAAATGTCAAAAAAATTGTAAGAAACTGGATAAACCAAACTATTGTTCACCTCACTGAATATGAAAAAAGTCCAAAAACCATAATTTTTGTTGATTTTAGGGTACAACGTGAGTTTATGAAGTGTCCAGTGATGGAGAAAGAAGGACAAATAGTTGTATATGAATATCCTAGATATGGGTTGCAAAAGAAGGTGAAATTAGCACTTTTTCATAAATAGCGGTTTGTTCACATTTTCATTGTGAAATTCGTGTTTTTCAGACGAAAGTACGTAAGTACCAATAAATTCATATCATCATGGTGTAGAAAAATATTAGTTTTCAGCTAATATGAGGTATTTCTTTCCCTGAAAACTATGACTCAATCTACATCTGTACTGTATAACGCAAAAAAGAGCTATTATTATGAATAAATCAACACCTTTAGATTTCATGCATGACAAAAATTATCAACAACCATATTATGTGCGCCCATTCAAGATTATGACGCGGAAAATAACAGTTTGAAAGCAGATATGGATATTCTCTCATAAACATAAGTTGTTTTGCCTCACTATTTGAAAATGTTTTCTTTGTGATGGAGTCATTTGCCCTATTTTCTACCTAGAATTAATTACCTGATAACACCATCCATATCGATAACAAATGGCTGATCCGAAGTAAGTATCTCATATTTGCAGACGTCCCCAAATTTTGGGGTACAATCTCTGTCAGTTGCCTCTACTCGAACAATTTCATTGTAGATTCTTCCTTCGTCAACTTGTCGTACATAGCTCGGCTCAGAAAATGTTGGCGCATATTCGTTCACATCTGAGACAGTGATATGCACTGTGGCGCTAAAATAATTAATAGTATATGCATGAGTTATATACAGAGTGATTGTTCCAAATTTCAAATTTTAATTCATCATGAGATTTCAAGTAATTTCAGATTAGGAATGCATGAAAAGAAACACCTTCTATATACAGGGTGATGCATCTCACCTCCCGTCTTCTATAGCTCAGTTATCAGTTGAGTCAGGATTTTGATATTTTGCAGACTTCAATTGTATTAAAAGGCGCATACCAAGAAAGTGTAACGTCATAATGATATTTTTCTGCAACCGACACAAAAGTCGTCCATTTTGATACCAAAATTAGCTCTTAAATTGACGTTTCTATTACTGACACAAAAATAGGTATGTTGCTAGGCAACATATTTAGTTCCTAGGAGCTAAAGTTGAATTTTAGCTCCTAGGAGCTAAAGTTGAACTTTAGCTCCTAGGAACTAAAAAGGATCTACTGGACGTCATCAAAAATAAACAACATTGTGACGGTTGGTTATTTCGGTTGAGACGCATACCTGATTTGTTTCCGATTTCAGCAGATTTGGCGAATTTCATACCCATGCTGGAGAAATAAATACACCTTATTATAGTTTAGTATTGGAATTATGAACATCTCAGCTGAGTATTTTTGTTTTGATCAGGGAAGCCTTCAAGATTCAAATACTTGCTTGATCTGTATTTCATTCGTTATTCTCGGGATGGATAACTCGTTTTTTAATAATCACGGCAAGCAATAGTTTTTTTGTCTCAAACAACGATATTGTTTACCTTCATTCCATTATCAAGTCAAACACAGTGTAGTTTGAAGAGGAATAAATAATCACTATTATCATTGTTGATATGCTCACTAACCTAACATTTTCCACGCCTTGTTCCTATAGCTGGCACTGGCGCGGTATTTGAGCACCTGGTCCATACACAAATATGACACTCTGTGGTTGTATTTATATTGAAACTACAATTCGAACATCCTAGAAAACCCAACCTGCTGTTAATGCAGGTAGAATATTCTCACCACATGGATTATTTGTCAATATTATTTGTTGCATTGCATACATATGGCACGGCATTGGTGGTTACTTCACATGTTTATTTGAGTTAATTGTTTCGGTTGCAGAAAAAATAGCATGTTTCATTCGGATCAAAAGTGACTTTGTTCGACTCGCAAATTTTGCTTTCGCTCGGCTTCGCTAAACGCTCCGCCTCGCAAATGCAAAATTCGCTTGTCAAACAAAGTGTCACTTTTGATCCTAATAAAACAATCTACTATTTTTTAAATGGCATGCCATATATTGACTGTTAAAATATTTGATGAAACGAGTTTTTGATACGATAAGAATTTCGATAGATTTATTCACGCATCGAATATACAGGGGCTCCAATTTGAAATAAGAAAAATAGTGCTTTGAAATTTGAAGTTTGTTACTAAATTTTGCACACCCTGTGATGATAAGTGTCAATCAAACTCATTTAGCGTTCCTCTTAGGCCCTATTTGATATGTATCACCTATGATTCTTTTGACCAGGCACTCTCTTGTTTGTAATTGATGTTTTTGACCGGTGGTGCAGAATTGCATTTTTTTTATGTTTTTTCACGTGAATATCACTGAACCGATTTCAATGAAATTCCAGTAGTATGTTGGTAACCACTGGAAGCACTCAAATCTACCAGGTGATTCAATAAGGGTAACCGAGAAGATGTATCTCAGGAACTAATAAATTGCTAACAAAAAGTATGGTTCGAGGAAGGAAGCTTTAGTGAATAAAATAAAGATCCATACATACCATTCTGGTTCTTACCGCCCTCGCTAGGAGGCGTGCTTAATAAACTATTAGTTCCTGAGTTACTGTACCTCGTCACCGTTATTGAATCACCTGGTACAACAAAATAAATAAATATATAGCATGGCTTTCAGAAAAATATATCATTATAAAGTCACACTTTTTTGGGCCACCCTGTATAATCGAAATTATTTTCCTGGTATGGGCCCAATGAGACAATTGAAGTCTGCGAAATATTAAAATCCTGACTCAACTGATTACTGAGCTATAGAAGACGGGAGGTGAGATGCAGGACCATTTAAACATAATAATATTTATTGCACAAATGATAAAGATATACTAACGTACTGTTGGTTGCATGAGATACAAGCCATTTATGTGAGTTTTTATGACCCAGACAGATGTTTTATTTTATTTTAACGATTTAATGAATGAATAAATGAATAAATGAATAAATGAATAAATGAATAAATGAATAAATGAATAAATGAATAAATGAATAAATGAATAAATGAATAAATGAATAAATGAATAAATGAATAAATGAATAAATGAATAAATGAATAAATGAATAAATGAATAAATGAATGAATGAATGAATGAATGAATGAATGAATGAATGAATGAATGAATGAATGAATGAATGAATGAATGAATGAATGAATAAATGAATGAATGAATGAATGAATGAATGAATGAATGAATGAATGAATGAATGAATGAATGAATAAATGGATAAATGGATAAATGGATAAATGGATAAATGGATAAATGAATAAATGAATAAATGAATAAATGAATAAATGAATAAATGAATAAATGAATAAATGAATAAATGAATAAATGAATAAATGAATAAATGAATAAATGAATAAATGAATAAATGAATAAATGAATAAATGAATAAATGAATAAATGAATAAATGAATAAATGAATAAATGAATAAATGAATAAATGAATAAATGAATAAAT